TCTCTCTGTTTTGTCTTCAAAGTTCAGATCTCAATTTTTTTTTTGTTTCTTCTTCTTGAGATTTGATGGAGTCTTTGCTTTCTCTTTCTAAAATTCTTGCTGTCTTGAATTATCAATTGAAAGACAAGCCAAAATGTCTTAAAATGGACCAACTTAATTCTTTTTACCTGTGTCGGTTCTCTAAATACTGATAGGTGCCCTTTACAGATTCGATAACCTCTATGAAAACTCTGACAAAACCCCTTAACCCTTGTTACGGAATCGATGAACATATCAAAAAGTTGGGTGTTACCGTGAGACAAAAATCAGAAGGCGACGAAAATATCGGACACTTTTGGTGTTGTCTTCGATGGATTGGTTTGGCCAAGAGCCGAAGAGGGTAACGAAACAAATCAGATTCAGTGATTTCTACACCAATCTGGTGGTTTGTCTCCTCACCTCTAAAGCATGGTTTTAGTAAGAACGACGAATGGCGAATACTTAAACTTGATTTACCGTGAAATTAATTTGATGATTTTACACATTTTGGTGTGAATTGTGATCTTTTTTATTATTTTAACCCAAAGGTTATATTGCAACCACAAATTGTCCACAATTCTGTTTGATTGTTTAGGGTTTGTTGGTTCTCTCTCAGTATGTTTTTTTTTCCTTTTCTGTACCAAAAGTTTTCAATTGTTACGGTGGAAGATGCCGGAGAAATTGTTAAGAACAGTGGAGGACAAAATGGTATTTACGAAGAATGAGGAATCGTCGTACACAGCCGTCGACCCACCTTTCTATCGACAAGGAATCGTCCAAAATCATCTAGAAAGCAAAACCAACGCCGACGTCCTCTCCACCGGCGACACCGACGTCGCCGATTCCCACCAAGAACAACACCGACTTCAGAACCTACGCTGATCGCACCACCGGTGTATGACTATCTGAAATTTCACGATTAAAAAAAAAAAATCTAGATGTTGAAGAAGCCAACACATCGGGAACAACACCCCACCTCTTCACTGATTACCACCGATCAATCTTGCTTCTCGTCGGCGTCAACCTCGCGTGCTCTGGCCACCGTGAAATTAAAAGATCATCCAATAGTCTTTGGAAGAGAGACCTGTTGGGTGAAAGCTGGAGAGAGAAAGAGAAAGAGAGGAGAGGGGAAAAAGAAGACCCAAAAGAAGCACCTGTACAAACATGTGAAATGATAATACATGTGTGAAAGTCATATAGAAACACGTGAGTAGCTCCAATAGGTATTATTTAGATATTCCATCCTTTTCTTTTAATGGTATTAGAATAAGGATGTAGATTGAAACATTATAAAAAAAATAAAAATAAAAACTTTTGGTTTTCAAATGCAAAATGATTTGGAGTGCCACAAATACCACTATTTTTTGTTTTAGATTTTCAAATCATTCATGCTGGTCAACGATAGGCTTATCACATTAGCGGTCCTACTATAGAACTTCCTATCACCCTATAAAAATTTTTTAAATTTTTTTTAATATCTTTATAATTGACAAACTCCTTACCGATCAGATTGGTGCAATGGAAATGGGAGAAAAGGAGAGGAAAGAAAAAGTGATGAAAGGTGATTAAAAATATTGTGTTTGACTTTAGAACTAAAGGGAAGGGAATGGATGGTTTTGAAAAAATAACACAATGCACAAACAGTAATTTCCTTATCCTCTCATTTTTAGGAGGAAATGAAAAAAAAAGGGAAGGAGAAACTTGACTGATGCCAAATTTACCCATATACAAAATCAAGATTACACTTGATTTTAGGATTTAGTTTGCAAAACAAGAATTACAAACCTTGATTGGTTGATTTAGAAAAAAAAATTTAAATAAAACCCATACATATAAGTTAGTAGTTGCAGAGAGAGGGGCAAGCTTTAGAGTTGAGAGACAGTGGCTGAAGCTTGCGAACGGCGAACCCGAACTAGAACAACGGGCGATGGAGACTGAAAGAAATGATATGCCGATATGGGTTTTGATATATGTAATAAATAGGTTTTGAACTTTTAATTCTTGCAAACGTACATGTGGATAAACTAAAATATATAAGTTTTAAACTTCTGATTCTTGTAGATTTTGTAGTTTGCTGTTGCAGAGAGAGAGAGAGTGCAAATTCAGAGTTGAGAAGGAGAATAGAGATGGAGGTGATTGGAGAGGCTAAAATGATTTGCCTTAAAAATATTATTTTTATATTATAGAGTTGAATTTATAAATTTATCTTTTAAAATATAAAATGGTATAATAGTAAATTTATTAAAATAGTTTTCTTTCTTTTCTTTTCATTTCTTTTCCCAACATGATTATTATGCTTTCTTTTTTTTTTTTCCTTCATTAATCAACCAAACACGATAGGGGGTTAAAATTATCCTTCCCTTCCCTTCCTTTTCTTTTCCCTCATAACTAATGCATGTTATCATTTCTCTCCTTTCCCACCCTACCAAGTATAGTCTAAGGGACTTCGTAACACCACTCTTGTCAAAGTAAAAGTCGTTTGAGGTATAATGATGCACCAGCTTTTAATTACATTTGGCAAGTGAAGATGTTCCATTGTATAATACAATTATCAGTTACCAAGGGGTGCAATTTGGAAGGGGTAACCCAGTCCAATCCAAACTCATCAGCTCAAAAAATTTGAAATTTGATCTTTTAAATTCACAAATCGGGCTCAAATTAGGTTGGGTTTTCTCAAAACCTAGGCATGTTTTGGTTGGATTCGGGCTCAACCCAACCCAACCCAACCCAAAACCTAAAATAAAAAAATAAAAAATAAAAACTTAAGAAAACCACTGGTCGGTGCCATACTGCCGCCCGCAAGAAGTACAGGACTGGAATTTTTGTTGCCAATAAACACCCATGTTTTTCCCTCAACCCCACCAGCCGGTTTCACGTCGATGGTGGTGGTCATTCGCCATAAAGCCCTCAAAGATAATGTGTTTTTAGATGGTCGGAGGTCAAAACCGACAAGAAAACCATTGGTCGGTCACCAATGGAACCATGAGTTGTGACCCTGTACGTGAAATAAATCAACTGAGCGGAGGGTAAAAATCGTGAAGATTGTGAACCCTAGGTGGGGGTGATATTGCCATTAGAAAATACTACGTGGTTTGGTAATATCATATTTTCCTGTCCTTTCACCTTTATTTATTTATTTAAAAGAGTAAATATGTAATTTCAGATTGACAAATACCTTAAGGCACAAAAAAGTCTGAGATTGTAAATTAATTAATTGCACAAAATATTTTTATTAATTGTAAAATCAATTCTTTAGTACACTCAATTATTGGAATTAAATTGCCTTTCAAAAAAAATTATTGGAATTAAATTGTGCAAAGTGTTAAAAAAAAGAGAAGAGTTAATTAAATATAATGCTATAAGATATAATTAGGTAATTTTCCTTAAAAACATATTCTAATTCCATCAATATATTTGAAAAATGATAAAAGATCAAATTCATATTATTAGTCCATCACTGATTTAAAAACTTTGACCCGTGGAACCCACCCGACCGACCTGTCTAAAATATTGATGTTTAAAAAATAAATTTTTCTTAAAATTTTTTATGTTTACAAACATGGAAAATGAAAATGTAATTTGCATATTTCACGGGTCATTTCATTTTATTATTTTTTTTTTTTACAAACATGGAAAAGGAAAATGTAATTTACATATTTGTTAAAAAAAAAAAAAAAAAAAAAAAATGACCCGTGAAACCCGCCTAACTCGTTCAAAATATTCAGGCTGAGTTATTGACATAATTCATTTTAAATAAAATTCAGGCTAGCCCAAATCTAACCCAATTTTAAATTAAGGTTGGATTGGACTGAGTTGGGTTGAGTAGTCCAACTTGCAGCCTTTCCAAAAAGAAGAAGATGTTCAATTGTTACACATTATAATATAATTGTATGAAGTCGCTGTCACAGCTTTGATACATGCAGTTGTTTGCCATGGTCCAACTCTATATTTTTATATGGACAAGATATATATATATATTTAAAATAATTATACCTTATAATGTGTTCTAGAGATACATGCACTTGTACAATAAAGAAGACAAAGATGAATAGAATATATATAACATAATATAATTTTTGTTGATTTTATGAAGATGGTCAATCCATCTTTTTCTTCTTTATTGTACAAGTGCATGTATCTCTATAACACATTATAAGGTATAATTATTTTAAATCAGGTGTGTGTGAGTGTCTTCTTTGAAGGTAGATTACCATACCATTGGCATCTTCAATACAAAATGTTATTTTTTCAAGTAAATTTATATTTTGAGAGGAATTACAGTGTCAAAATAGTATATTTTAGAAATTGTACTGTAATGGTGCATTTCATTCAAAATACTATTTTTTGACACAATAACTACTCTTTTTCATTCAAAATATGAAAGGTCTTTTGAAAACCCATTGGAATGTATTATTTTCATCCATCTGTTATATTTTGACTTTGATAGGCCCTTTGAGAGTTGCTATATATGGCAATACTTTTGACAATTTCAAATTATGAGAGTTTTTTGAGAATCCATTGGAGTGTATTAGTTTCATCCACCTAGTATATTTTGACTTTGAAATGGTATTGGAGATGCTATGAGAGAAAACAATATACTGCGCGAGCATGAGATCAAAACCTAGGAGAAACCATGAACTTGTTTGGTGTAGTTTTCTATTTGTTGAGAATTCAAAATAAAAAATTTAGAAAAACATGTTCTGTTGATAGCTTTCAAAAGAAAAAAAGTTTCTTGAAAACTCAGCTAAAAAAGTTTTATTTTTTTGTTTTTTTAGAATTGTCTAGCCTGGAAAAATAAAATAAAATAGAATAAAATAAAATAGTTTTCTATTTTTAAGATTCTTCAAAAAAATATTTTTTTGAGTGACAATCTAAGCCAACCCCATGTCTTTAAGATTAACTCTCTGAGAAAATTTCCCTTTTACATATCATTCGCGTGGTCTTTGATATATATCATCACTTATTAGGAGAGACGACGAAACTTAGCTTTAACCATGCAAACATTTATATGAAACCAACAATATAGTTAATAATAACAATAAAACTCAAGAGTAATTACGTTCTACTATTTGTGATCTTAAATTATTCTAATAATATATAGAATGGTCAGCTCTAGCTATTTCACTTTCTGAAAGAGTGAAAGTGTAATATTTAATATATAATATACCCAAAAAAAACTTTTAAATATAACTTCATGTCTTAAATTAGAGTGAAAGAAGCTGCTGTGTAAAGAGCCAATGCCAGAAATGTGGAAATGATGGTTGTCTTTGTAGGCATCCTTCCTTTATCACTCCTCAGAACCATGGCCTCATAAATTGGCCAGCAGTTCAGAATCACAAAACCAGCTATAAACATCTGCCCAAACAGTCCCTCCAAATGTTCACTTGTGAAAACTTTTCTCAGCCCCACCAAGAACGCGATTAAATTGATTATTGCTGCCATTGCCATTGGCACGAACATAGGCGACGAGACTCCGAATTCGAAGGTCCCTTGATCATACCTTTTACTTTGTTCATCGTCAACGACTTTGCTGGTCACATTGAATCCTTGTGTGGCAATGCCCAAGCGTTTGGTCACGTATTCCATCAATCCAAACAAGTAAGATGAGAGTCCTCTTACCAACCACATCCTCTGATCACTCCACCATCTTTTTACACTACCATTTTCTAGGACGAAGTCAAGGCAATCTTGCACGTAAGCTCCAACAAATAGAAATGCATACAAGACGAACCATGGGTCTGAGACCTGTTTCACATTTGTATAGTTTTAATCACAATAATTTTGCGTAGTTTAGAAAATTCTCTATTAGTCCTACATTTCAACTCTAAAGACCAATAACTCCTATAAATATTTTTTATGACAACTGAGTCCTACTTTCACTAATTATTTTCGTTCATAATTTCGTTAACATTGATTTTTTTTAAAATTTTTTTTCAATGTTGCCCTTTTATAGAAATATCATTATTGTAATTTTCTTATATATATATATATATATCATAGACTTAAATTTACATAAACTTACCTGTAATTTTTGAAATTGCTTATTTCTAAAACAATAGAAAATAGAAAAAAAAAAAAAAAGAAAGAAATTTAGTAATTCATCAATTGTACATGAATATACTTCATAAAAATATATATATATATGGAGCTTTTTGGGCTTGTTTTAATATTTATTTTTATTACAATTGGTTGAATTTAAATAACTTGTTAAATGTTTTACAAATTTCTATTTTTGGTGGCATTTAAACCTATGTGCTTTTTCATTACTTTTTAAATTGATACTAATAACAAACTAGAGGTAAAGAGTATAGCTATTTAATAAGAAAATAACAATAAATTCGTTTATACTAAAGGGCAATATTGATAAAATAAAATAAAATAATAAAATAAAAAAAATAAAATTTGCTAATATAATTTTGAATTTAGTTGGAAATATTTGTTAAAAGTAAGACTTTATGGTGGACTTATTTGCCTTCAAAACTAAAGAGTAGGACTAACTAATAGTATACCAAAGTAATCACTATGAGGAAAAAGAAAGTGAGAGATACCTTTGGGAAGATGATGATTCCATTGAGGAGAGCTAATTGAGGGAGGAAGGCATATATGGTGATGGGAATCGACCAAATGGGCCAGAAAGCAAGGTGCGCATAGCAATGACCCATTAGAGGGCCCATGGACCGCACACCGAAGGTGAGAGGACTGTATTTGGAGAAGGCCACCTCAAGTAGGCCCACGGACCATCGCTTGTTTTGGCTCAGTACATCATTCAGGCAAATGGGTATATCGCCCAAAAATGCTGCCCTTTCTGGATCACAGAACACAGATTTCCAGCCCTCACACTGCAGCCTATACCCTGTAAAGTAGTCCTCAACCAGAGACCCATATCTAAAGCCCATCTGCACATTTTACATGTCATTGGGTCATCCATCCATAAATTGTACTCGTATCTACTTTTCGAGAAATTGTCACATGGTCCAGAATCATTGGCATCAATCAATTACTAATTGACATGCAAGCAAAAAGTTAAATAAAGCCGACACATTTAATCGTGTGTCAATTAGTGATTGGCTGGGGACTATAAAGATATATTAAGATACACATATACTGATATATTTTGTATTTCTAATCATTATCTTATATCCCAATCAATAAGCTTACCTTGGAACCCCAGTTGGTCTGGTTCTCATAGTTGCAACCTGCTACATGATGTGCCAATGCCGAAATTTGTTGGGCCTGGATGGGCTTATCAAAGACATTATCCGGGCTTAGCTCAGGTAATTCTGGAGTGACAAAAGACAATGGGCCTCCAAAAAAACACCGGCGAGAAAAAAAGCATCCGGTCCCAACATGATTAGGGCCTGAAAGCCCATCCATCCCCAGAGGATTCATTCGAAATAAACCTTTGATCTCACCTGCATAGATGTCATTCTTGTTGAGACCATGATACCGCTGAGGAAACTGAACGTACCCTAATTTGAGCCGAATTGCAGGGTCTGAGAAGTAACATAGCACGCGATGAGGCGTTTGGGGATCATTGGAGTACATGTCGCAATCTAGAGTTAGTATTATCGGTGCATTGGTCATGGAAGCCGACACTCGGAGCTTCAAAATACAAAAATAATATATATATTAAGAAAAATTAATTAACCAGGCAATAGTCGTGTCAGACCTCTTAAAACACACCATAATAAAATCGTGTTATATAATAGATTCGACATTGAATATGAAAGAACTGTAGAGCTTGCTTACCAAGACATTAAGGGCACCAGCTTTGAAATGATGTGGAGAAGCTGGACTTTTCTCTCTGGATACGTATATAAGGTTTGGCATTGAATGGCCTGTGATGTCTTTGTCTTTATAGATCTCTAACAAAACCTGATTTGCAAACCATTGCAGTGCATATAACTACCTTTAATCCAAGCAAATGTACACAGACTCATAATTGGCTCAAACTTTCTCTTTCGAAAAGAAAGATTATACCATTTAAGCTCATGTGAATGGATTAAAAGGATGAAAACTTGGATTAAGGTAAGTGGTAATTAACCTGAATAACAGTGGGATGATGTTGACGAGTGAAACCCTTTGTCCATTTGTTGAAAGCCTGGTGTTCTTGTTCACTGTTGATGTACTCATCCCCAACCTTCCCTCTCTCAACAACACTCCCTACCCTTGCCTTCATGTTTTCGTACATCATCTGTAATATATATGCATCATCAATATCTAGATTTAATTAATGGTCAATTAAGCTCATCACTATAACTATCTAATTTAATTACTCCCACACTAGTAAACTTTTGAAACTAATATAAATGCATAAAATTAATTTATAATACATTGTCTTAATTAATTGCCAAAAAAGGAAAAAAAAAAAAAATTTTAAACGACATATCCTAAATTTTGTGCAATATTTCAATTGAAAACTGTCATGATCACATTGGTTGCTATGAGTTATCAGAAATGATTTTTTAAGTGAAATATGACAATTTACTTCCAAATTGGAACAACCTTGCCAATATCTATTTAATAATATAAGATACAAAAATGGACGATTGATAAAGGATTGTTATGCTTGCAAAATTGGATTCAAACCTAATATGTCACCAAGAGTGCAGCTTGAATATTCTTAGTATCTCATCCCTTCTGTAATAGAAGACTGTAGCGGGTGGGTGATTCGCAATCTATTTCAAAAGTTTAAATTATTAGGTAGGGTTAACACTCGGTCCATATATACCCTTTCATTCTTTCATTCGGATCTGATGTGGGATAAATGACTCTTGTTACATTTTCACTCACATACCCAAATTCGCAACGCCCTCATTGCGGCTCGGGCTAGCTCACCCGGACACTTTCCAAGCCAGATGCTTGACATGACACTGGATAAAGGGTTGGTTCTGACTCTGATACCAACTGAAATGTGTGAGTGTTTCGCGATCCGACTAAAAAACCTAAGTTATTAGGTAAGGCTAATACCCAGCCCTTATATATCCAATCATTCTCCCATCCAGATCCAATGTGATACAAATGACTACACTTAGCATCTCCAGTGTAAAATGCTATATTCCTATGCTAAATCTATATTTTGATAGGAGTTACAGTGTCAAAATGCTATTTTTTGCAATTCCGTTTCATGGTGCATTTCATTCAAAATGTTATTTTTTGACACAACCATTCCATATTTTGAGAGTTCATTGAAGTGTCTTATTTTTATTTTAGCAACTTTTGACAATTTCAAAATATGAGAAGTCTTTTGAGAGAGTCTATTGCAGTACCTATTTTCATCCACTTGCTATATTTTGAGTTTGAGTGGCCATTTGAGACCTACTATATTTGAGAATACATTTAAGAATTTCAAGATATGAAAGGTCTTTTGAGAGACCATTGAAATACCTTATTTTCATCCACCTATTATATTTTGAGTTTGAGAGCCTATTTAAGAGATCATTGGAGATACTCTTATAATTATCTTATTTTTGGTTTCAAATAAAAACTACTACTATATAATAGCCAAATATATATATATATATATATATATATATGGAGAGAGAGAGAGAGAGAGAGAGAACACAAAGTGACAACATTGATAATTGGCCTTCCTCTGACTAAATTTGATAACAGACGGCCAATGACATGTGAACCTTTGTTCATATTAGCAGTGGACTGACGACCATATGCATCCACCAGTCACACACACACCATAAATTTGGTGTGTGGCCATTTTTATATATATATATATAGTTTTGTGGTATATTTCTATTCTAAATTTATCATCTATCATACATTCAATATCACACCTAATTAGGTCCAAATTCAAATCAATCATGAGAAGGGCGGAACCAATTAAGGTCTAGAGGGGACACATGCCTCTTTTTACTATGCTCCAACCTACCATACATAGGTATATATTTTTGATATATATATATATACTTATATGGTAATTTTAAATAGTGTCCTCCTCAAAATTTTAAATTCTTTTAATTTTCTTTTGAAAAAAAAAAATTACATATATCCCTTCAATATATTTTTTCTTTCTAATTTTTGTTTCCCTTTTCAAAAAATTTCTTTTTTCACTTATGTATAATTATGTATTTTTTAAATTTTTTTAAACTTATTTCTTTTATAGATGACATTTGTGATTGTATTTAATTAAAATATTATTAATTAATATTTTGATTCTTATATTTGTAACTATATTTTTTTATTGTATTTATTTAGTATATTATTTTACAACTATTTTTTTTCTTATTTGTCTTTTTGATTTAAAAAAATTATATTGTCATATTTATTAAAAATAAATAAATAAATTACAAGTGCATTGTGCCCCTTCTTAAATAAAATCCTGGCTCTGCCCCTGAATTCATGAGCCTGTGAAATCTCTCTCAGTTAAATTTCTTATTCAATTATAAGTAATACTCGTTCATAAATTGTATTATCAAACACATTTAACTACATAATTTCTTATTTTATTTATAATTAAATAAAAAATTGAGTTATGAAATAAAGTTGTTGATTGAAACTGAATTACTAAAATTAGCAAATAATTACTGTATATTTAATGAATTTTTGTCCTTCCAGCGAAAGAACTAAGACTTGTTAGTCCTACAATGGTCAGTCATCAATCACAATCTTTGGATTTACTAGAATCCTTCTTTTCTGTTTCTTTTTCTTTTCTTCCACTATAGTTACAAAACAAAATTTTCATAGTAAATAGGGTTAATACAGTACAAGAAATAATTAATGAAAGCTAAGTTTTGGACAGCTTAGTACGTACCAGAGCCAGAATTTTAATTCAGAGGGGGCGCAATGTAAAAAGAAAAAAAAAATTATAATTTAAATAAGAACAAAAAAAAAATTACATATTATATACATCATTCTTAAGTGCAAAAAGAAGAATGTTAAGAAGTAAGGGGCCAAAAAAAATTAATAAGAAGAATAAGAAGAAAAAAGGAAGAAAAATGAGAAATTTGAAAAGGAAAAAAATTAGAATTTGAGTAAAAAAGAAAATTTTAACTTTTTTTTTTTATATATAAGAAAATCAAATGAATATTAAGAGCAAAAGAAAAAGGAAAGAAAAATTTTAAAAACAATTTTAAAAATTTAAAATTTTAGTGGGGGCATTATATAAAAATTTTCTTACAAATAGACAAATTAAAATAAAAATTATTATATATTATAGTAGACAGGCTAGGTCAGGTCAGGTCAGGAGAGCAGGGCATGTGCCCCCTAGGCACACACTGGTTCCACCCCTATATGTTGGTCACTATCTCTGTGTCCTGCATGTTTGTCCTACACAATGCCCTATAGAAACATAATTGTATAATAAAATCTATATTTTTATTGGCAAAAAAACTACAATTAAAGAATGTGAAATAGAAAGTAATAATAATAATTTCCAAAAGAGGTAATAGTATTTGAAAAGATTGTTGATTACGATTATAGTTTACTAACTTTAACGTATATATATTTAAAATATATATATTGCTTAATAACTTAAATCGCACTTTTTAAAAAAATCATGTTAGGTGCAAAAAACCAAAATGCTATATTGTTAATCATTACAATGGGTGTGTATATTCAAATATAAGCACTTACATTTTAATGTGATTGCACAAACATTTTGAGAAAATTTGTTTGAATTAAACTCTTTAATTTGATTCAGCAAAAAAGAAAAAAAAAAAAAGAAAAAGATGTTGATGAAATTTATATTTTGATTAAAACAACACATTTGTTTTAAAATGCTGCAAAAGTTGTGGGCTCAAACTTCAAACTTGGACCAGGCCTTGTCAATCGTGGTAGGCTTGGCATGTGCCTCGGACTGGACACCATATATAATAGTATTTTCTTCTTTATTTTTATACGTTCTTCTTGAAACCTTAATTGTTATTTAATTGATTTTATTCATTATTTAATTTTTAAAAGAAAGCCCTAGAAAGTCGACAAGTTCAATGTGGGGACCACCAGTCCATTAGTCACGATCGATGTGCTTGAATGGGAAACTAAATTAAAATCAGAAATCATCGTCAAAATAAAAAAGTGAAAAACATAGAAAAAGTTAAACAACCTTGCAAAAAAAATTTTAACTAAAAAAAAAAAAAAAACCCTTGTAAAAATATATACAATACCATGAGAAATTTTGGAATAATATATTAGAAAAAGTAGAAACATCCCCTCCAAACAAAAATGAAAAAAATATCAAGAGACAAAGAAAATAGAACTTTCAAGAGAAAAATGTGAAACTTTTGACCATTTCTCATAAATCATTATAACCAAATTCTCAGCAAAAAAGATTAAAATGCTTGAGTAACAATATCATATCACTTTTGCAAGTTTGAGCATTTATGAAGTATTTGATCACTTTAAAAGGGCCAATCATAACTCACCATAAAAGTAAAAAAATTAAATAAAATTGACATATTTATTTTTGTAACATTCCATGATTAGTTTAGTTTGATCACCTAATTTCGGACTATATAATAAAATAAATATTACTTGACAGCATAGGTATTACCTTGATATTTTGAGTGTCACTGCACCTAGAATAATTGGATCTGAAATAAGCATCTGGACACCTCTCTACAATCTTGTTTTCCCTACAGAAGGGTAACCAGTGGGTTCCAAATTTGGCAGCCTCCATAAATGCAAAGAGAGTCAACTCGGAACCTCCATCGTCGGATACATAGACCGAGAGCTTCTCAGTAGGGTAGTCATAAGCCATGACTGATAAGGCCGTGTTCACAACACTCATGGGTGGCTCTTTATACGGATCTGCAGTGCATATAAAGATGTCCATGGCCGGAAAATCTTTCTCTGTGGTGACTTTGTGGAGGTTTTCCGGGAACTCTCGACGATGGATGGGTCGCATGCGATAAGATTGGGTGGTGGACCACATGAACCCTAGAAGAATATCGGAGATGAACATGGAGAGGGAGATGAAGAAGGAGACTAGGGTGGTGGAGTGGAAGAGTGAGAGTGCATGGTGATAGAGCAGAGCAAAGATGGCACACGTGTAAGCTGCCGCGAACAAGCGGTTTGTGTACGTGCGACGGGAGAGCTTGAACGTGTGAAGGGGGGCCTTGGTGGTGGTGGTGGTACCCTCCATTTCTGTGCTGCTCTTTCACTGCAGGGATGATGGAAGGGTTAGTAGGTCAATTCTTATAAGCATGTGAAATGATAACACACGTGTGAAACAATAAAATATCACAACACACGTGAGAAGGTCCCTTAGGTATTGTTTAGATTCCCCTTATTTCTCTGAGTGGTAGTAAGATGTAGTTGGAACTTTATTTGAAGGAAAAAAAAAAAAAAATGAAAAGAAAAAAAAAATGAGTTGAATACAATTATCAGTTACCAAAAAGAAGATGTGGTCAATTAATGTTACACAATACTGATGAAGTTGATGACACAGTTTGGAGACACGCACTTGTTTGCCATGGCCCCAACTCAATATTTTTTATTTGGACAATACAGATCAGATATTGGTAATTGATTGAAAATGGGTTTGTTACTCAAAGTCAAGTTGTAATCACGTGGATTTGACCATTTGACCATATTCATAAAATCTTGGAGCGTTATCGATCGGGCCAAGAAGCATAGCAACAAAAACTACATGATCCTATATATATATATATATATATATATATATATTCTCATCAACAAATGATTAATAACTTATGTTGCACTTACCCATGTGAGTCCTCCCATCACTTGTATGACACTTTTTTCTTATCAACAGATCATTGAAAAATATTTGTGAATTTTTTTTACATGAACTTATAAAGAGCTAATTGTGACGATGTTATGCTGGAGATTTTTTTTTTTTTTTTTGTGAGAATTGGTTGCTCATATATGTGTATATATATATATATATATATATATATATATATATATAGAGAGAGAGAGAGAGAGAGAGAGAGAGAGAAGAAAGCGTGAAACCCTTGAAGTAAGCGAATTTCAACCCATATGAGAATCCCAACTTGCTTGGTAATGGATACTGTAATGGATAGAATAGAGTCACAGATGCAAGGTCGATCTATTAAAAACAACATATATTATCCGTGTTGTCAATTTCAGAGAAATGTGAAGCCATTCATTGTTCAATTTCTCACTATACACGCAATACATTGGTGGTGCTAATTAAAGTCATCTGTCCGAGGGAGTGTTAAGGGGGATAGGGATCGATTGGGACGCAATAGCCTATAGGTGATCCAAGTCCTAACAATTAACACAAAATTTTTTTTAGTTCATATATTCATACATTCATGTCTTCAGTACATGGTTTAGCTCTCATTGAATTTCTTGTTTCTTTTTTCTTTTTTTTTCATTGTTACTTATATTTTTTGTTAAAATTTAAAAAATGCACCCTCTCAATTTGTAAAAATACCTCACTTCACATTTTTGCTCTTACTAATTTTTTGGATCCAAAATATAATCATATATAACATATTCAATTTTTACCACCCCACTACATAAATGATTTCCACTCACAGAGTTTGATACTCCCACTCAATTTTTAAAAATACTCACTATATATATTCTTGTATCCACTAATATTTTTATATCTAAAAGAAAGTAAAAAGTAAATCGGACTTTCTTGTTTATTCACTCTTTAGTGTCCCACATCCATTGATAATCTAAAAGTAGGAGCCTAATACCATGCCATTAGAACACTGACCAGCAATCAACACTATTTCTAACAAACTACCTTTCATACGTGATGTGTTTGGATGTACTATGAATACTAATTGTTGGCCTACAAGGATGAATTCTTGTACTTTGCAACCTTTTTTTTTTTTTTTTTGTTTAGGTAAATCCATAAATTTTGCCCATAAAAAAAATTTAAAAAAATACAACTTTAGGTAAAGGAATAAATTTTTTTTTTCTATTAAACAATGGTGGAGTCGAATCTCCTATAACACTCCTTAATTTACCATATGCATTCTCTCTGTCCAATTAATATACACCAAACAATTATTATTATTATTATTATTATTTTTGGGTAAAAAAAGAAAACCTTCAGGTACAAGAATAAAAAGGGATTGTATTCCTTATAATTTTTTTTCTATTAAACAATGCTAGTGTCGGATCTTTTACGGCTCTCCACAATTCACCGCATGCTTTCTCTGTCCAATTAATATACACCAAACAATTATTAAAAAGATTACGTAAAATGACTGCAAAGGAATTCGAACTCCCATCTTATGTTAAATGGGACTGATTATCGTTATTAATCAATTTGAACAACATTCATCTTGCTATAAACCAAACCCCCCTAACTCGTATGTTATCAAGATATGAAAAAAATAATAATAATAAAAAATAAAATAAAATAAAAAAGATATGAAAATTGATGCATACATTTAACTCCACGGAGTGGAATTAATTCACATCATGCATGCATTTGGTTAGACAAAGAATGTTTAAAGTTAACTGATTAGCCTTCGCCTCCACCACTTTTTGCTTCTTAATCACATTTAACATCTATACCTACAGGATCTGAACTACCTTTGGAATACCATGACTTTTGCTAAATTTACAAAATGAGACCTTGTAATTGGCCCAAAGAACAAGCCCAAAACAAGGAGCATAAGCCCATTTAAATGGAATATTCCATCATTCTTGGAGCTTTCTTGATGTCATTTCTGGACTACTTGGAAATTCCGACACAGCATCAGTGATATGGGTCTGAATGCGATTGAAGTCCTTTCATGTATTTGAATGAAGCCTGTTTTGTTCTTTTCAATGTAAGCACCATGAGTAATAAATTGTAGCACCAAACAACATATAATTAACCCAATAAATAATATATACTATTGTCTAAGAGTTTCTTTTATAGATTTAAATATAAACTAAAAAATTATAGTAATTTGTAAAATAAAAAATAAATATAAAAACTTATATACACTTAAAATTTTATTTTCATGTTTTTATTTGGCCCTGTATGCCTGCGTGCATGCATGCTATAATGGGAGTAGTAAGGGGAAGTGTTCCATCACCATCAAATTGAGGCTCCCTGTTTGATGCATGATGGTCACATCCTTGGTAATTATGTGTTTTGAACTTTTGACATACCACTTCCAATAATACAAAAAGTCCTGGTCCTTCTAAGTCAGTGGTCCTAGACCTGCAACCAAATGGTTGCATTTCTAGGACAATTTTGGTGGACCTAATGTAGACTTTTCACGTAGCCTTTTGTCCTCAAAAATGGGGAAGAATGATGGTTTGATATGGTTGTGAAGTGGTCTCCCATTTCCTAATTAACTAGTGTAAGATCACTTAGACCTGTTTGGTAATCACAGTTATTTTGTATTTTTACTTTGATTTGAAACAGAAGCAATGTTTTTATTTTTAGAGTGTATTCAACACTATTTAGAAATTTATTTGGTAATGTAAATTTGTTACAAAATTTTAGAAGCAAAAACATAGAAGTATAGTAACGTTGCTGCTTTGATCCAAGCAATGTTTCTGCTTTTGGTAACGTCATTTCATATTTTTCATATTCTTGTCTAAGATTTCTGTTATCCTCCTCATTTTACTTGAAACAAACAACTCAACATCAGCAACAAAATTGATAGTTGTGTTGTTTTAGTTTAAATGATTTCTATACAAATTAGTTGATTTGTTTAGACGAACTTGATTAAAAATAATTGTTAATTTTTATGACAAGACAAATGCATAAAGACCAGAACATACAAGTATGTGAAGAGCATTTAATTTCATTTACAGAAAATGCTACGACATATTCAATGGTTTTAATGAGAAACGCCCATGGTGGGAAAGCTCTCATTATTCTCCCTTACTCTTTTCTTTCCCCACTAGCCCCTCTCTATAAGGTCAGCAATGACGCATTGAACACATGACTCCACCAACATAACTTTTATTGCGGATCATAAAACACTTTAAATACCCCATTTCGGTTTCAATAGACAACGCATAAAACATTAATAGTCACAACCATTATGTTTCGTATTTTGCCTTAAATGTACTACCAAATATAGAATGCAAAACAAATACCATTCATATTGCAAAGAACATAACTAAAGAACCACTAGAGACCGAAGACATCAGTGCCAAAGCACAAGTACATATATTTACAAGAGCAGCAAACAAAAACACTTCAACCCACACCCAACCAGAAATGCCCTTAATATATACAAATTCTTAATCTACCCATTTCACTATTAGTTCCCCTAATACTACTACTACTACAGTCACCATTCTTTGAACCCAGTTAATGTCTAATTAATTGGGTGTCATGAAGCATATCAAGCTCTCACACTCGTGAGCAGCCTACCCGGTGTTTGCTTGCTTGCCTCTCACCTTCCTTCCATCTTCAACATTCTTCGTGACAACCAAATTTAAAATCCAATCCGATGGAACACCCATCACTCCGCCTCCCCTTCAAACAAAAATGTGGGAATAATTAAGGAACAGTTCACGTGTCAGCAGCGTCCAACATAACAACAGCCCCATCACCTTCTATCGAAGAAGGGGGAAGTTTGCTTCCAGCACCCATTTTCTTAACATCTTGGCTTGAACAAATGAAGATCCTTCTCACCATGTTACAAAATTCCCTACAAGCCAATGATGAAACATAAACTTAACATAGTTAGCAAGGGAAGACAACAAGCTTCTTGGATCGTATTCATTTGTGTTATAAATGACAGATTGTACGAGAATACTTACCGCCACGGATCATCACCCATGAGCATCATGTCCCCTTCGTCATCTGTAAAAACGATTTCCCATTTATTCCGAGGGCGTAGCTCCCCCTTGATTTCAAACATCTCTTCAAGTTCATTTATAAGGTCACCATACCCATTTAATGTGGTTAGGTCCACCGCCCGACCCACTGCAACCCCCTGCATTTGAACCTTCTCACATGCACATGAAACACACATACTTAGTACTTTTTAATAGTTTGAAAGATAAATGGTGTCTCAATTAATTGAAAATTTTATTAAGAAAGATGACTATTGTTACTTCCAGTTTATGAAGATATACCTTGGTACGAGTCCGGGTAGAGCAACTCTGCTTGCTTTGAAACTCCTTCGGTGATACCTGCAACTGTCCCTGTTTCTGTTCTTTGGACGCCTTTGAAAGGTCAGACTTCTGTTCTGTATCATTAACCAGTTGTGTACTCAGTACATGTCTTTCAGTGGTGACATTGGATACACTGACTGGCTGTTCAGATGACTTCTCAGATGGAAGGGTACCTTTCAAATCAACACCGAACAATCGACAGCTTGCCATAATCTCAAATCTCTTTCCATCAATTCGCTCCGCCATGGGGTCAATGCTCTGCTTTGCTGAGTGAGGAGTGGAATAGACCGAAAGAACAGACCAACCTGAAGCACTCTTACTGTCTATTTCATCCGCGAATAGATTCCGAGAAACATTTGCATGGGGAGAATATAGCCAGCGTCCCTCTACATGAGTCCTTAAAATACAGTTGTTGCTGCTATTCATGAGGGTGCAACCAGTTTCAGTTTGCTTAGGATGCCAATTAACATGATCTTCATTTCTTTGGCGTTCAGGTGTAACACTAAGTTGGGTTGAATCATGGGAAGGATTCCAGACAACTGATGCAGTTGAAGATGTAGTTTCTAGAATGTAGATGGCCAGACCAAAAAATTAAACAGAGAAATAAATTATGATGCATTGGATAATGTACAAATGAAGAATGAATGGAGTAGGAAAAGTCCCTCTCACCGCGAACTGGGATTTCAATTTGTGGCCGGGGCCTTTTATTCTTCACTACAACTGGTTGAGCCAGGCTTGAAGGAACAGCCACAAAAGGTTCTATCTCCCAAGGAGAAACCCTCTCAGGTCTTGCAATGGATGCATGATCATCCCATTGAACCTGAACAGAAAAGACAAGACAAGCCTGCAAGATTAGATTTTGAACATAGAACTATAAATTGATAGAATGTAGTGTAGTCAAATATGCCAACCTTCAATGATCTCCATTCAGATTCTTTCCACTGGGGAGAAATTTCTTCAACCCCAACTATTGTGCCTGTAAACCTGATCAATCAAAACAAATATTTCTTTTCAGAACAAGTAATTTATATAGCAAAGAACTCACATAACCTATACATAGATAATCTACTACCTTCTTTCCGGAGAATCCTCTCCCTCGAATCTCATGTTGAATCGCATGCCAACTGCAAACCCATTTTTAGCAGCTTCTAGATATTTGTTCAAGCCAATTATGAATTGACTTGTCCTGATATAACATAACATTCACCACAACAAATTTAAGTCAGCCAATGTGGTCTCTTCAACAGAAACATCATCTTCATCAGAAGGAAGTAACAAACGGTTTCATACCTCGGCTTATAGTAGACTACGAAGAGGGTCTGGGTCGCAACAGCATGAGATGCAGTTGCAAGCACTCCCAGGTGCATGCTCTGACTTGAAATCACTGATGATGGCATGGAGCTCTGCTGACAAGCAACCCGTCTAATACCAACACATAACTCTCCATTTCCCCCCCTAAGGAAACAATTCTTATAAGTTATGTAAATTAAAATATTTGGTAGAGCATACGAAGATTAGATATTTTTTTAATACAGGCAAATTAAGAAAACAATAAAGGGCAAAAAAAAGAAATACCTCAAGAAAACAAAAGAATCTCCTGCAACTAATCTCTTTGATGTGACAAATGTACTCCATCCTGTTGTAAGCAAATGCCTCCGAGGTTGGCCTGCTCATTTTAGTCAAGAGTGAAATGACTTGTCAGTTGGTGAAAAATTAAAGGGTATCTGAATTAATTACGAGCAGCAAAATATCTGATTGATCAAGGATATTTTTGTGCTTGCAGGTGTCTTCAAACACTTATGGGAGTAAGATCTCTTCCTAAAACATAGATGAAGCACAGTAAAAAAAATGAAAAACCATTACCTCGAAATATATGCTTAAATCGCCATTCGAAACCATGAAGATCCTTCGCTATCAATTCCTGGGTAGGCGTGGGCTGGTTCATATCCTGAACATACTCGAAACAAAGAATTCAATCAATAAAATGGAGATAGTGAAATCAATTTTCAAAATGGTCAAATAAGTTGACATCAAGTGAAATTACCAGGGGAGGGAGGCATTCATTAGCATGTTTCCGAAGAACAGAAAACCCACCATGGGTGCTTGTATCGGAGGCAGTTAAAACCTTGCAGAACGAGTGAACCCTCGGCCTTGGAGGTTCAGGAGGGCACGATTCAAGACTTCTTGGTTCAGTTTGCTACATATAATCATATATACTTTCACATTATTAAAAAGTTAAGCTTAATCTAAACAAACGCTTGCCGGGATGTCAAAACAATAAAGAAAATCAATAGGTTCTTCTTACATCTGGCTCTGGCATCAAAGTAATTTGTGCATAAACTTCATCAGTGTCCTGTTCAGCCTACAAATAGAAGAATATCTTAAAAACAAACTCTTACCATACCAATCAACCCAACAATTAAATTTAATGCTGGCTTTGTTTGCTGAGAAGATATAAATGAATTTTTTTTAAAAAATAATAATAATAATTCAATTTACATATCTTAGGACCAAAAAGAAATACATAAAAGATGAGTAACAACATTACCCAAAACAACAAACAAAAAAATTTCCTACCCTTTCTCCGCAACCAAGCAGAAACTAAATTAGGAAATACTAGTAATTAACAGAAAAGAGCATACCAGAAGCTGAATGTTAACAACATTACAAAGGATCTTTGAATGAATATTGAAGAGTGGAATCCTCTGATTCAATTCTTGATTAGTTGATGCCTCTAACTGAAAAAAGATCCCCAAAAATAAATAAAAATTCAAACAACAAACCTAAAAATAGAAAAGAGAAAAAGTTCCTATTAATAGCAGCTTCAGAGTGTCAGCAAAAAAATGATCTAATTCCGGAGAAACATTAAACGTACTTGTTCCATGTGACCTTGAGGAAAATAGAACACTTTCTCCCCTACCCTTGGAACGTCCACCAATGGCCCTGCACATGCTTTCCATAGCTCCGTATACAGATCATCCCCTCCAAAAACTACACAACACCAAAAAAAAAAAAACACACACACACACAACAAATTTCAGAAAACAGTATAACCTTCACACACAAAATGAATCAAAAATTTCATAAAACAAGCAAAACAAAATGGAAAAATAAATTGAAATCGAAAGGTAATTTCATGTTGACCTTCAGCTGAGAAATTAGGCTGCGAAAACGACCCTCGATTCGCCATGATTAAAGCACACGTTCAACAAAACAGAATCTTCAAATCATCAATCAAAGCTCAAATACCTCTTTCCGTACACCGATTCACCGCATTATATATATACCCACACTCGTATGTTCACAAATGCAAATAATGATAATTATCTCCAATAAATACCAACGTAACCGTTGAAAAAGATTCACAGGGGAAACCTCCGACGTTTCAATTCCACAATAACGGAAAGGTGCACCGGTAAATCGCTATGTAACCGTTACAATACCGCCTTTCAAGATCGCAAACCCGGCTTTGCTTCTCTCTCTCTACAGACAAACACCTACACCTCCCTCACTTTCTCTCTCTAGAATACAGGAAATGAGAAACCGCCGTGACAGAATCCCGAAAACTGCTTAATATACACCTTTTATGACTTGATCTGACTGTTTCTTTCTCTCACACACACTCTGCTTGTTTCCTTTTTCTCTGTAATAGACTGTAGGTCCGTATCACCAACCTAACTGTAGGTAAAGAGTTTTTATTTGCGAAAAGGGCAAAAAAAAAACAAAAAGGTTTTATTTTATTTTTACAAGAGATACACGGCGTGCTGACGATAGTTAGACGGAAAGTTAATCTGGACACACATAGTACCGTGTATTAACGGCGACAGCATTTCCAAAAGAGGCAAATAATTACTGACATCGCCTCGATATCGGTGTGATTGGCGTCACCGTTAGTTCCGTCTATTTGGTTGTCTGCTTCGCGGCAGGCAAAAGGATTGGCTAGAGTAAACCCAGCAGAGATTTTTTTTTTTTTTTTTTTTTTTTTTTTAATGATTTTTTTAGTAGTATTTATTGAGTTCTATCTTGTTTTATATTTGACCTGCAGGATTGTTTTAATTACGGGAATACCATTTGAATGTGTGGGGTCACATTAACACGTGGGGACTCCTGGGTCTTGATTGTTAACTTTATCGTCTGCAGACGATCTGCAAGAGATTTCAGTGGTCCTCATCTGAGCATGTCATCATAGGGTTCCACGTGTCGATCCATGCCAGTCTGAGCCTAGTCCGCCCACTTTATGTCTGGTTGATTTTGTTGAAATAGATTTCCAAAATAAATTAGACTATGTTTGGAATAATGTAGGACTCGTTCCATGACAATCCATCACATAGTATTACCCACTAATAAAATATTGATAGGTAGTAGTAGAATATATATATATATATATTTGATCAATTAAATATTGAAATTTACATTATTCATCTTAAAATTTGAATCTTTTTCTCTTCTTTAAGAATAGAGAATTTATATCATTGAATTAATAATTAAATATATTCATTTAAAAATTATAACACTTATATGATATAATCTATTAAAATTAACACTAAAAATGTAACATTGTAATAATTTTATTTTGAAAATTTAACAGTTTTACACTGAAGTTGCATCTTAAATATGGTATAAAAACTTGTACGAAAAAGATTCAAATTTCTATTTTATGGTGTTCGTGCGAGTATATAGTTGCATGACCTCTCCTCTTGAATCAAATTTATACTCGGTGTTCTGTCAAAAATTTCTTAAATGCTTATGAGGTACACTATATATAATAATGGTATGAGGTACACTTTACATAATCATTAAAAAGAATTCTCAACCGTCCTTATATTATTTTGGTTAAAAGGTAACATTATATGAAAAGATTTTTTTTCCACTGTATTACTAGAAAATGAAAAGATTTCATTAGTTGATTTTGTTGATTATTATCATAAAAGATTTTGAGTGACTTGGCATAGTGACAGGCTTTGGTAACTCGATGGCCAGGCTTTTCAAGGTTTTGAGTGACCTGGCGTAACGCCATGATTTAGTAACTTGATGGCGAGGCCATTAGAGGTTTTGAATGACTTGACATAGTGCCAGGGTTTGGTAACTCAGATGGCGAGATTTTTCGAGGTTTTGAGTGACTTGGCGTAACGCTAGGGTTTTGTAACTCAATGGCGAGCTCTTCAAGGTTTTGAGTGACCTGGCACAACGCCAGAGTTTAATAACTTGATGTCAAGGGCTTTCGAGGTTCTGAATGATTGTCGTAGTGCCAAGGTTTGATGACTTGATGGCGAGGCCTTTCGAGGTTTTAGTGACGCCAGGGTTTGATAACTTGATTTTATTATAATGTAATAATCTTTTAAAAAAAGTAGTAATACTCACGCCCAACACTTGCATGAATTGCTTAACCGAATAATTTATTAGCTATTTATACCAAATACAACGAAATGGAGGGCTCCACTTTCTTATTTATTGTATAATTGACCAATTAAAATAATAAGTCTAACAATTCACTGCAATTATTCAGTGCAAGAATCATTTTCCTTAAAAAAATGGTGTAATTTTAAAATCAATGAAAGATATTTCTATAATTTTATTAGTAAATTACATGGATCTAATCAATGAAAGAAATTGGTACACGGAACTCGCTCGAGAAAAAAAAATATGTCAGTAATTACCCATATATTTAGGGCATGTGTTGGTACGTGTTTTGTTTTTGGTGTTTTTATTTTTATCGGTACTATAGCAATAAATGGTTAAAAAATGCATTTGGCAAAAATTATTTTGTTTTACACGGTGCCGAAACATTTAGTTAATAGTGGCAAAAAATCGAAGCATCAATTTAATATTTTTATATGTTTTTGCAGTGTATGGTTTTGTAAATGAATAGTAATTCTTTTTTTTTTAAAAAAAAATTCTTAACATTTTTAAACTAACCATTATATTTTTTTAACTTAAAATATTTTTTTATAATTCTTATTTTAAAAAATTTATAATAAATGAATGTTATTAAATATACTTTTAATTATTATTTAAACCACATTACAAAACCTATGCCAAACAGATTTTGATTAAATGGCTAGAGTGAGTGAGTGAGTTTTAATTTTTGCTACTGATTTTATTGAACGAGTCAAATTCATTTGTTAAAACAAATGGAATCACCTGCATTGATGGTGAGTCAAATTCGATATATATTGTGAAGACAAATTGAGGAGTTCAGGTGAACACAAAAAATTTCAAACCAGACTCAAACTACCATAATTTATAAAAACAGTCAAATATGTATATATCATTTATAAATACAATGTCGTCCTATGTGTGAGACCTTAGTACGATTTAGCCTGAGAAACTGAAACGACAGCGTCCTTGACTCGGGGTGACACTATTATTATGACAAGTCCATATCAACCCGTATATATATAATATCGCCATGTCTTCCGCTGATCGGTTTGTACCTGCAACTCCAGATAAAGTTGATTCATGCCGGATTAAACTTTATTTACCATATGTTTTAGATAATATTAAGTTCTTTTGACTTGATCTTTATATTCTCCAAAATTTCAATGTCCTTCTTCATCTAATAATTTGTATGGTTGAAAAAAAAAAAAAAAAATGTAAAGAATTTCTAGAAAAACAAACATTCCCCCTTCACTTGTAATTTTTATTAATGCTCGGCTCTATCCATTTCCATTCACTCTTCCTCGAAATCAACCAAACAAAATATTCCATAACTTTTTTTTATCATGCCTCTCTTCTATTATTCCCTTCAACCAATCATAGCATAAGTGGTTAATAATAAACTTTTTGAATCTTGTTGAAAGCGATCTCTTGATGGTATTACTTAAACTAATATTGAATTATTCATCATTTTATGTGTGTGTATATATATATATATTTATATATTCATTTATTCTAATAAATAAGAATAAAATATTAACTTTACAACCTTAAAACATTTAAAATTGCGCAGAATTATCTACTGCACATAGAAATTGAGGGAAAAAAAATGAAAATTTTAATGATAAAATAATGATTCTATTCTTATTTATAATTCCGAGGTTCTTAAACTTTTCAAAAACCATTACAAAAAAGAGAGGAAAGTGTAGTTACATCCCTAAACAAAAGTCCAGGCATTTATTCAACATTATTCACTTACAAACTTATTTTAAGCCATTGACACAATTTGCACCTCTAGAAAAGAAATAAAGAAAAAGTAATAAATAATTAACACTGGAATAAATAAATTAAGCACCTCTAAAAATGAAAATGTGTCTTATTATTATTATTTTTTTATGACAAGAAATACACACTCCCATTTACGCATAATTTTTATTCACACTCCTATTCTATCTATCCATTTTCATGCACTATTCAAGGATATTTGAATAGTGTATTCTAATTGGGTAGGTATACCAATAACGTTGTATGTTCGGCTCATCCAATGACGTTCCTTCCAACAAAACAAAATTACTTTTTTCTATTATGCTTCTCTTTTATCCTTCCATTATGCAGCTTAAATGGTTAATAATAATAATAATAATAATAATAAAACCTTATGAATCTTGTTGAAAGTAATCTGTTGATTAGGCACGGACCTAACATAAGACCAGTGGTGGCGGATGAATTTTTAATATTTTCATTTTATACTTCAAATGTTTTAAAATTTATAAAGATGCCCCTACTAAAATTATAACTCGCCCCACTGAATTCTTTTTTTATTATTATTTTATACTTCAAATTTTTGAGAATTTATGAAGATGCCCTACTAAAATTATAATTTGTCCCCATTGAATTTTTCTTTCTACATTTTATATTTTAATTTTTGAAAATTTATAAAGAAAACCCTATTAAAATTACAAAAATGAACATACTATAAATAATTGTCCCAACAAATTAAAAGGCCATCCTCCTCACGTAATTTTCTGGATCCGTCGCTACTTCTTGATGGTATTACTTAAACTAATATTGAATTATTCATCATTTGATATACATATATATATATATATTCATTTATTCAAATCGATAAGAGTAAAATATTAACCTCTCCAGCCTTAAAACATTTAAAGTTGCGAAGAATTATTTATTCAAATCGATAAGAGTAAAATATTAACCTCTCCAACCTTAAAACATTTAAAGTTGCGAAGAATTATCTACTGCACAAAAAAATTGAGAAAAAAAAAAAAAATGAAAATTTTAATGATAAAATAATGATTCTATTCTTATTTATAATTCCGAGGTTCTTGACTACTCAAACTTTTCAAAAACCATTAAAAAAAAAAAAAAAAAAGAAAAAAAAAAAAAGAGAAAAGTGTAGTTACATCCCTAAATAAAAGTCCAAGGCATTTATTCAACATTATTGACTTTCAAACTTATTTTAAGCCATTGACACAATCTGCAAATTAGTTCTCTAGAGCGTGTGAAAATCAACAGCTTTGACAATGTTATACACAATTTACACTAATATTTTTTTGAACTAACGGTCTTAGTCTATAATTCATTCTTGAAAATTAAAATAATAACAATAATAGAGAATCAAATCTCTTTTTGAAAATCCTATGTTTCTAGGATCTTTCTAGAGTATATACTTAATTTGACCCATATTCCATTGAATTACAGAAGGCTCTATAAACCCTTAAAAACTATTATAAAATAATGATTTATTTATAAATATATATGTGTGTGTTTGTGTGGTC